CTCYATAGGTTTGCTGTTCAGCACATGCAGATTCGTTCAGCCCTTTTATTAAATCTTGGTGTATGTCACTCAGTATATTGGTCAGGTCTTTTTAGAAAGCTATAGTCATCTAMTAGAAAAAAATGCATTATCTTCACACATGCAAATGCAGCCTCTTATCGTACTCTCCTGGCTACGAATTATGCTCAAAAATATTGTATAAGATTATTATTTGGCCTAGGTGATAGTTCACTGCTTTTTTTTTTTTTTTTTAATGATTTTGAGTAGGATCATAGCAATGATGAAAAGAGAGGTGTCTGGGTCACATACAGAAAATGGGAGGGATAAACTGTATGAGGGGAATTAAAAAAACTCTCTATTTTAAGAGGTCATTCAAATGTAGGATGTTCCAAGCCCCTATTTATCCATATCATGCTTACCTGCAACAAAAGTTAACATATTTAAATATAAAAATATACAGGTGTGTTTTCGCTGTTAAAATCAGCATTTCTCCTTTGATGCTACCCAGGCATTTGCGTGCCAGAACAGGAATACACAAGAGAGCCCTCCCTGGGCTGAGACTGGCAGATGTCACGGATGAAGTGACCAGTGCTCACCTGCCAGTTCTAAGGTAGCCCTTGGTCTCCTTCAACTCAGAAGCAGTTTTCCTTCAAATTTTAATATATGGTACTTGTAATAAATGCTACAGATTTTAATAAAGCTCCAATGCCACCCAAGATAAAGAAGCTTGCTGAGCCTAACCTGCATTATGCAGGCAAGCAAATCAGATTTGTTAATCCTCGCCTAAAGCACATGGTAACTGGGAGAGGCAGGCAGCAGCTGCGGGTGCAAGTAGCTGCAGAAGCTGCATTGTTAGGTTGCTAGGACTCATAACAGCTTTATTAAGAATTAGGAGTCTCTTTCTTTTACACAGCTTGATACTACATGGTGCAGAACATTGTGCCTGCCAGATATTCCCCTGTTGCTTAAGGGAAGAAAAGGCAATTAGAATTCCAAGCCCAGTGAAAGAGGTTGTCAAGAAATTACTCCAGATTTGTATCATGGGCACAGCAACAAAAATTCATTCATGCTGGTGGTGACAAAAAAAAAAAAAAAAAAAAAAAAAAAMMCACCAAACTTATGCACATCATTAAAACTGTTATGGGATGACAGAGCACCCCTTTGAAGCCTTCAAGTAACATAACCTTTTAAACTGGTATGTGTGTCCAGGGCACCCACTGCGTTTTTTTTGAAAAAAGCCCTTAGGCCCATGATGAACACACAGGTCTCCAGTTGCTTCACACAATGAAAATTGATTGCGTCTGTGGACACACATTATTAAAATATGCATTTTAGATACAGCAGGTGAGAACTCAGATGAACACATGAACCCCCCCAACAGAAAGATCCTAAACAAGAGACATAGCATCAAGTCCTTTAGTGCAGTCTGAAGAGCAGTTTCTCAGTAGACATGACCATGCACGTGTCCAGCACCATTGCAGCGGGGAGGGAAGCAGCAGGAGTCGGATGGACAGCTCCCTGTGCCAAAGGCCGTCAGTGTGGTTCTAGTCTAGCCGAAGAGATCAAAACTCTGCACAGTAAATACTCAGCAGGAATCCTTACTGAAGATGCTGGAGATCCCTCCAGGCTGCCATAAAGGATCTTCATCTCTGCATATGCCAATTTATCCAATGCTATTCAGAACATATTAGCTGAAGTCTTGCTAATTTAATCAGCTTAACAAGTAATACAACCAGTTTTGTAGACTGTTTTTCTCCTTAGGGTCAGTAAAAGAAATCAGTAATTGCATTGCATGTTCTGTTCTTTATACATAGAATAAAACTAGATTAACTCTGTTGACTAAACTGGAGATATTCCAACAGCACATGAATCAAAATGAGATCACACATTAACACACTCTCTCTGTATATATACAGTAGCAGTTCTTAGGTTCTACAGAGGAAACATAATAAATAATTATCATCAGAAACAGAAACAAAAGGAGCACCTATACGGGCTTCCATTTACATATTTCCATGAAAGTCACAGGTTGGAAGTTCTAACTAATTCACCTCAACTAAAGGAACAAAATGAAAGCTGCAACACACCCAGCRACACACTGTTTTGGATCAGTCACTGAATCAACAGAAATTCCTACCTAATTTCAACAATAAAGTACTAATAAATCACTGTTTTTCAATAAATACCCKGAACAAAATATTAAGGAATGTGATTTTCCTATCAGCATTATCTATAACCGGAAACTCAAAATCTTATCAAACCACCAACAACTGATTTTCTTTCTGTCAAAGCATATTGAACACAATATTATTCTTTTTTTTCCCTAAATTTCAAGCAAGACAATGTAATACTTCAGTAATGCCCTCAGGATGGCCTGATATATGCAGYGAGTTAAACATTCTCAATTATTTTATTTTCTCAAAGTGGCAAAGACTGATTACATCCCAATCATATTTCCCAGATGGTGTCATGAACCTCTTAACACTTCATTTCCATCATGTTCCATGACTTGAGAAATCTGTTTTCAATCTTTCAGACACAAACAGGGCCTCCACCCTCTGTCCCCTGATGCTAGATTCAGCAGTCCCCAGCCAACATATTCTTCATATTCTTTTTAGGGTGAAGAAATTCACCTCCTCCCTCATCAATCACACAGACACCATCAAGGAAACATTCACGTTCTTCGAACTTCTTCATAAATACATAGTTTATGTGTTCCGTGAAGAATTGGTAGATTTGCATCCATCAAAAATAAATACCCAGATCCTCTGTCTCTCCAAGTCAACCTAAGGAAAAGTATCTGTGAAGGTGGCTTGATCCTACTCTTTCTCTTAATGTACTGGAGTTAAGATCAGTAGATACTGCTGTCTTTCTTAATTTATTTATTTTGTCTAGGGAGCTGCTAAAATTTAGCTCTGCTTGCGTCCAGTGAAGTTCTCTAGAGGCATTTAAATTCAATTTTGAAAACTTGGCTCAGTGTCTATATGTGGAAAAATACAGAATGTGATGATCTGCGTTAAAGCTCTAGAAGCTGAAATCTGTCTTTATGCCTCCGTTGTCCTGCATCCAAACCTTTCTCTTTAGCATAATGTCCCCACAGAGAAATGCATTTTCACTCCTTCAAGTATCTAACAAAAGACAACATTGGGTTTCCCTGTCATWGCTAGATTTTAAGATTCACCTTGTACTTAACTTCAACGACACACACACTCTCCCTAGTGACAGAATAACCCATTTATTCCAATCAAAGTGCTCCAGGTTTCACTTTGCTTAAGAAACCAAGTAATAGACAGACCACCCACACCCCTGAAAACAGTGCTCTGCAGACACAGTCAACCAAACCTACAGGCCTCAGCTGAAGAAAGTTTCACAGAATCCCTGTTCTAACCAGCTCTATCTTAAAATCACAAAGCACATTCAGTAGCCCTCAGCAGGCTCCAGAGGCTGCCATAACTACAGCATGCCACTTTTGAATGTGAAATTCAAAACCATATGCTTTTTCATACATTGATACCAGAAGTTAAAATTCTGACGCTTGTCCCCAGGATGATTTCAGTGTTCAAGCCAGAGTGTCTGTAGCCAAAGCCCTTAGGAATCACTGGGAATGGCTGCAATGAAAACAAACCTTTTTGAAAGTAACATTCTCCCAACTGGCAGTCTTGACTACAAGCCTGCAAAACCAGATCTTTCTTCCCTATTCCTCTTGCATTCCTAGCTGTCCAATGGCTGCATTTTGACAAAATCTTTTCTGACTCCTTTGTCTGGAAGCGTAGTGATTCTGTGGCTGAGAGCGGTTGGGCTGGACATCCTCAGCCTGAGAGAGAGAAAGAGCTATTTCCCATTTGTCTGATGGTAGGTTATGTAGGACAAAGACCAACATTACTTTGAAGAACTCCTCTTATCTCTTTCAAAGCAGTGTATGTCCCAGAAGATGCTGGGGTCTGGCTTCCAGACATATTTCCCCTACAGTCCTTGATGCAAGTGTCTAAGCTGCAGAGAAAGAGCCTTTCCTTTTTATTTTTTTTTTCACTGAACTTCCCTTTGTAATGAGCAGGAACTTCCCTTTGTAATGAGCAGGTTATGGATTCCATTTTGAATGCCTAAAATTTAGGTCCTTCAGCTTAACTCGCCCATCTCTCTGTCTCCAATGTCTTTGCCAACGTTCAGTTTTTGTGAAGAAAAGAAAGTGTAAGAGAAGGGAGAATGCAGGAAGCTGACAAGGAGTTTCACCATCTTTTGTCCAGAGCTCTAAGACTCAAACTATCACAGCCTTGCTCTCTCAGGCCAAGCAATCCCCTACTTAACGACTGTTTGCCTAGACTGCAACTGGGGGATATCACCTCCAGAAATGCTAGGTGTCTGTAACAAAGTAGGTAGAACTTGCACAGTGACACACATGGAGAGCTGATCACTTTCCTACCCAAAATATCTACAGTTTGGTGCTTCACACAAATTGACCAAATTTGTAGCTTACCAGCTTGTGACTACCTCCGGGAGCACCCCAGTGTATAAAGCAGGGATAAAATCATCTCCCATTCCAGAGGTAAATCAGCTACTTACTGATAGTTACTTGGTTTTGACTTCTCAGTAGGGAGCCCATGAATGAGTGTGTAACTGTCCTCAAGGGGGAACAGCATGAGCTGAGCAGYGCAGAGTCACACTGCAGGCTTTGCAAGTGGGAAGCAGCACACTTGAGATTTAAGTCAGTATCATCTGCTACATGTCCCAGTGAAGGGGGCAGCCTTCACAGAAAACCTGTTATGTAACTTCACGATCAAATAATTAAAGACTGCACTGTAATCCACACCTACCAGGATGAGGAATTCAGGCTGTAAGGGTAGCCTTTCATTTGGCTTCATACTGTTATCTCAGTAATCTTAATCTGTTAACTTAATCTTTATGCAAACTACACATACAAAATGATTATCAGCAGTACTGAATATAGCAATTTGTAAGTAAMTGTTTATGTTATATTGTATATGAAAGAAAAGCAAACTCACATCTCTCATCATTTTCACTGCTTCCCTGGTCCTTCCCAGCTTTCTCGCACACATCGCCAGTCTCCTCTTAATGTAAACTAACACATTGGTGTCCCTTCCTGTTTAATGCAAAAAAGAAACAAAAATAAGAAGCAATACAGAGACAGAAGGTCCATTTCACACTGTAACACAGTTGATCATCAGTATTCCCATACTTGTAATTTGTATTGTCTTTGTAATTACAAATTCTAACAATTTAGATATGGAATAACACCACTGAAACCAGTGGAATTACTCAACATATACCACGGTTTAAAGAAGGACCCATGGTCTGGCCTTATGCCTATGAAATACAGGAAATATAAAGGTCAAGTAATCAACTGGGCAAAGGGAACCCTTTAAAGGTGACACCCAAACTCCAGGCCCTCCACATTGCATTACATATCTTAGCAATTCACATACTTATGCAGTAGAGACAAGTKCCTCTATGACAAGGCATGCTGTGATTTGCACTAAACTTTTTGTAAGTCTAGGTGTATACACCTGTTTTAAAATACAGCAAAACAAACCCTCAGCTTTGTGCTGAGTAACAGTCTTCATTTACAATCAGAAAAACAGTACTACACCCCAAATTCCCTTTTACAGAGCTACTACCTGTGACACAATTAACATCTTTAAATTCCTGACACAGTTAATTATGAATGGCAAATTAAGAGGTTTCAGACATAGCAGTCTCCTGGAGCGGGAGATGCCTCAACAGCAAAGAAACAGAAACTCCAGAGTTGCAGCAATGTTGCTCCTTACTCCTTCTGCAATCCTTGATTTCTCATTCTCCCTATAATTATAATGCAAACTTTGAATGTGCTTCTGGACCAACAGGACATATGCAGGCACCTAATCATCTATAAAATTACCATATCAAGAAAACATAAGTCACCTRCTAGGAATTATCTTTTTGTAATATGCAGTCAGTAAAGACTTTAGTCTGTGCCCCATTTCCAGGTCTTTCATAATAAGCACAAGATGTGCACTGAAAATATTCCAAGTGCCTACAAATTGTTTTAAAACTGTGACTGAAATTTTCAGATACATTAGGCAGCAGGTTGAAAGGTCTGACTCTAGGAGAAAAATTAAATAACATAGAGAAAGAATTTCTTCAGCTGTATTTTATATTATGTAATTCCTTATCTCTGTACTGAATCCTATATCCTCAACAAATGATTTATTAGCTACATCTGTTTTCAACATCTTTATGTAGTGCAAGTAAGAGGTATACATTTCAGGCCAGGCTCCTTTTCAGATTGTTCAAATACAATGGTCAAATGCCTTTGCTTATTACAAAATCAAGGTAACTTTTCAGGCTAGAATTTTCTGAAGTGATTAATGATTTTCTGTGACTAAGATGAGATCATGAGACATCCTCAAATAGAAAGCTGCCTGCACTTCATATAAACAAGCATCTTTTGAAATATGTTAAGTTCAGCTAAGTTCTTACCTACTCTTAAAATTCATGGCCTAACATAAAATACTCTATGAAAGAGATGGAATAGGTAGATAAACAGAAACACAGAACTATCTGCCATTGTTCAAGAAATGAGAATGGTTTTCACTTGCAAAAGAAGAAACGTAACTTTCTATCCCAAAGTCAAAGAGCTAGGAACAGAGCATCACCTCACTGCCCAACTTCAGGGTAACTGCCACTTGAGCAAAGGAACTGTGCTCCTCAGAGACACATCTGYCTATGGGCCTTCTCTAAGGTACTGAGCCCTCTACTGCATTAAACCACAGAAACCATACTCTATAGCCCAGCATGTAATCAAAAACATGCCTACTTGGGGACCCCGTATCTACGGCACCATCTGAGGCTGCAGCTTTTCTAACAGTTACGGGTGCACAAAGGGGACACTGATGGTGGAAACTGGAGGCAGAGATAAGTGGGACAATCTAGCCCCTCTACTGTAGAACAGCCAGAGCTGATCATCACTTTTCAACCCTTCCAGTTCTGTGGCAATGCACTTAAGTATTGCTGTTATTAAACTGCTTGCTACCTCCGCTCAAAGGACCAGGGGATCAAATTTGATGATGGCAGTGGCAACACATAATCGAGCAGAGAGATTACAAAAATAGCCTGTTTACAACTATCTGCACAAACTTAACCAGGATCTCTTTGACATAAGCATCGTGATTAAAGACTGCAGCCTTTAATTACTCTTTTGGATATTTTTCATATATTCATTTTCATTTTCAGTGCTTAGATGGATTAAGTACAGAAATCAAGGTTTTACAGATAAGTCCACTAGGGCCAGAAAATTACTTCAAGGACTCATCTATTCTATATTTTCATTTTCTCCAAAAACAATCACATCATCATAAATGTAGCACCTTAAATATTAAATTTATAACCAACAAATGCTTAAAATGCTACCCAGGCTTTATAAAATCTCAGGTTTCCAAGTACAGACTTGCATGCACTTTTGAAACCAGAGATCACAGACAATTTCACTATGTACAATTTTTACTGGCAATCTTCCAATTATGTGAGATAGCCAGAGGCTGTGAATTTAGGTCCTGAGAAACCTGAAAATGCCCCAAAAATATGTCAGTGCTTGTACTTATGTAATTCATTGGTATTATTTCTGCCTGAGGAAGACATGGTAGAAATAACCTAGATCTGTTTGCTTTAGTTATTTTTATTTACTTACTGAATCTCCATGTATTTTCTTAGGTTTAAGAAGCTTCTACTAAATACAGTTGTCATATCAGCTAAATATACTTATCCAAAACTTGAATAAAAACATCTAGAGTTTCAGCTAGAGCTATTATTGTAGTTGTTGATTTTTAATGTTGCTGTGACCCCTAACTTTTTTAATATCTCACTGGTGAATGGGTCCCATTACTCTTAAGCATATGACAAAATTATGGGATGTACATATCTACCTTTCAGGTGATGAAAAAGTTGGCAAAGCACCATTTTATTCCTGTTCTCATGGCTCTTCACTATCCTTTCAAAATATGTTTTCAAAATGGCTAGAGGCATTTGCGTGAGGCAGTGTGACTTTCTAAAGTAGATAGAGTCCATTATTTCTTGAATAACAAATTTCCTTTGGCTCTGTTACTTTATCTTTCCTTTTAGGTACTGTTGTTTATTATTATTTTTTTTGCCACGACAAAGAATAAGTGTAATGCAAAGACACTGCAACACTACAGGTTGGCTCTAGGGGCATATGCTAGTTCCTTCTCCCCTACTAGAAGCAGCTAGTCCCTCCGAAGACTTACTGTGTTGAGCTTCATACTGGGCACCATGGTGCTGCAGTTGCTGGCTACGCCTGTAACAGCCCTCTCCAGCTTTCAGAGCTTGCTTAAAAAGTTTCTCTGCTTCTACAATTGTTGTTGCTTCCTCTTCAGCCAAGAGAATATAGGCAGTAGCACATCTGCAGAAGAATCAGAGGCAAAACCACAAGAACATTATTTCAAGCAAACAGTACTCAAAGACTCAAGTGCAAACCTGCAAGAATGTACAAAATACAAAGGTAATGAAGTTTTGTCCATATGGCTTTTAATTCATCTTTGTAAAGTAACTACTGTGACAACAACATGACGTACTGCTTATGCAGTGACTGCATCATGTCACTGCTTGTGTGAACCTATTGAAATCAGTGAATCTGCCCAGTAAGGAAATCACTGCCTCACTTGGGCATGATCTAATACTGTTAAAATGCATTTTAGACACATAAATTAGTTTTATGCACTATTGATTTGATAGAAAACATCTTCACTACTAAAATGGCATGAAAGAAAACAACTAAACTACAATACAATAAGCTTTGAAGAAACTATAAATGTAATCGTACAAAGATTTTCCCCCCTTTCATCTTTTCTTTCTCCCCACTTCTTCCTCTCCCACACAAGGAGCTTTAGGAATACAAATAAATGTAAAACGCAGAGTGTGAGTCACCTAATCCATCCTTTAGCTGTGTAAATTAGACCTTGCAAGCATCTGTTTATTGTGGAAACTCAGAATTCTATGTATTTCATTGAGAAAATAAATGATAGGAATCCTAAGAAGGCAAAATCACATAGAATCACAGAATGGTTGAGGTTGGAAGGGACCTCTAGAGATCACCTAGTACAACCACCCTGCTCCAGCAGAGACACCCAGAGCACGGGGCACAGGGTGGCATCCAGGCGGGTTTTGAAGACCTCCAGAGAAGGAGACTCCACAACCTCCCTGGGCAGCTTGTTTCAGGGCTCTGTCACCCTCACAGGAAAGAAGTTCTTCGTCACGGGTAGATGGAACTGCCTGTGTCTTGTACTCATTTTGTACCCATTACCTCTTGTACTGTCACTGGCCACCACCGAGAAAAGTTTGGCCCCATCCTCCCTACATTCTCCCCTCATTTGCTTATATATAGTGATCTGATCCCCTCTCAATCTTCTCCACACTAAGCAGGCCCAACTCACTCAGTCTCTCCTCATATGAGAGATGCTCCAGTCCCTTAATGATCTTTGTTGCTCTCAGCTGGATCCTCTCTAGAAGCTCCACATCCCTCTTATACTGGGGAGGCCAGAACTGCCCCCAATACTCCAGGGACGGCCTCACCAGAGCTGAGGAGAGGGGCAGAATCGCCTCCCTTGACCTGCTGGCAACACTCTTCCTGATGCAGCCACGATTCCATTGGCCTTCTTGGCCACCAGGGCACTGCTGACTCATGGTTAACATGGTGTCAACCAGGACTCCCAAGTCCCTCTCTGTGGAGCTGCTCTCCAGCAGGTCAATCCCTAATTTGTACTGGTGCCTGGGGTTATTCCTCCCCAGGTGCAGGACCCTGCACTTGTCCTTGTTGAACCTCAGGAGGTTCCTCTCTGCTCAACTCTCCAGCCTGCCCAAGTCCCTCTGGATGGCAGCACAGCCCTTGGCCACTCCATCCAGTTTGGTGTCATCTGCAAACTTGCTTAGGGTGCACTCCGTGCCCTTGTCCAAGCCATTGGTGAGCAAGCTGAACAGCACTGGGCCCAGTACTCACCCCTGGAGGGCACCATAGGCCTCCAGATAGACTCGGCCCCCATTTATCATGACCCATCCTCTTTTGCCCCATCCTCTTTATATTCTCCACAAATTCTGCAATTCTCACACAAAACTACATTATATTCCCACGCATTATCAACTCAGTACTTCAGAAAATGTTTACAAGTCCCATCCTTACTGCCTCTATTGAGGACAACTGAGAAATTCAGAAGACAATGTGTGTTGTTTCCAGGCCATATGCTGATCAGAATGCACCTCATTGACCACTTCCCCGTGCCAACAGGACCTGATCCAAAGCCCATAGACATCAGTGGGAAGACTCTCATTGTCACCAGTGTCCTAAGGACCCACAGGGTGCCTAACATGACACGCAGCTCTGCTTTGTTCTTCCCGTTGTAGCTCTTCTCATGACAGGCCTGCAATCATGATTAAAAATTATGGTAGTAAACTCCTTGCCTTAAGCTATCATCAAATGGATTTTTAAAAGACAATAAATAAATGCTAATGTTGTTGCCACTCACTCGTTCAGTTCCAAAGCTTCATGTGCTGCAGAAATTCGGGCTTGTGGGTTTCTCTCTCTCCAGGCTTTTTGCATTACTATTCAATAAACAAAGCAGAACAGGCTGTATCAGTCATTATCGCATTAAGAAAAATATCCTGCATTATAAAAATAAAAAATTACAGCCTGACTCACTACAGATCACTTCAAAAAGCCCAGGGATTATTCGAAAGATACACAACCATCCTGAGCTTTCCCAATACTCAGATTTCTGCTTTCATTTAATTAAACTTCTTTTCTTGTGTAAGTTTTTCTGAGAGTTAGATTATGCCAGCTGCGTACAGTGGCATATAGAGAAGAGAGGACAAGCAGTATTTTCCAAGAGCCACAGGGCCAGAAAGAATATGAAGAAAATYGGAATCTGATTGCAGTTGCTACCACAGTGTTGCTTCATGTGAGTGCTAAACGGACACAGCATCCAAGCTAATCAGACTACCTCCAGAGTTCATAATGGAGGATTCACATTTCCTCTGGGTCTGAAGGACAGAGTATAGYCTCCTCTGCAATTAGGCCCTCAGAATGGAGTGCCCAAAAGTCAGGATCTCTATTTCCCTAAGAGACAAAGAAGACTTGTCTCTTCAGAGACATATTCTGACAATCAAAATCATGGTTGTACTAAAATTTTAGCACAGCCAAAATACTTGCTTAAAAATAAAAGCTTAATACAACTAAAGACGCTTATATCAAATTCAGTTCTAAATGTGTTGTGCCCATCTTTTGGGCAACTTCCAACTTCAGTAGGAATAAAATACAGCTTTACTGAGTTTCACTGTAGATTACATGGTGTTTTCAGAACATAACTCTACATACTACACAATGTAGCAGGAGGCAAATTAAGCTGTACATGTCTGAAGCCACTATGAGAAAACAGACAGAAATCTCAGGTTCACACACTATAAGAGGTATTTTGAGAGACTTCAGCAAAGAAGCAGAACAAAATACAGTGACACAAATTAGGTACCTTACAGTTACTTGTACAGATCCAACAGCTTACACAATCAAACTTTTGTCATTATTAATCTACCTGAGAGRACTGATGTCTGGCTGAGTTTTTACAGTGCCAGTTCAACCCCCCTGTTAACCTGCTAGCAAAACTGGTTGTTCACATGCTCTCTTACTAGCATCTGCAGGCCGCATATGATCCGTGTCACATGTAAAGAAGGTCTGGTGGTCCTGGGCAGAAAGATTCATATCGTAGTAGGTCAAGGGTTCTCTCCCCGTTACCCAAGTATACCTGCAAAGATGCCAACAAAGAGACACTCTGCTTAAACCAGCTCACATTCAGCAGTATTCATAGAAAAGGAGAACACTAGACACCAGAGATGGGCGTAAACTACTAAGATCATCCAGCTGATCTCCTCCTGATGTACACTGCATTTCCCTGTGCTGTGGTAGAGCTACAGCAGCTGACTCTAGGCTAAGGAGGATGCTGGAAGGCATGCAGGAAAGGGCTGTGTAACACACATATTCACACATTAAGACTTCACGGAGGTTTGATACAATTCACTAGGTTGCCTGAGTTAATTGATTTGAACAGAACAACTACATTAACATGCTAGACACACTGAAAACACATTTTAAATATGTTTTCCAGTTTCTCTAACTTCAAAAAAATCACTTCATAAGTGAATAATAAAATCTCCAGAAATAATAAGCACTTGAGAATGAATTTAAATTCCTTTTCTTTTAGAAACATCTTATATATGACAGAAAAACCCGAAACAAGTGCATGTGTCACCGATTTTCTTTTTCARTCTCAGAGTTCAGTTAACCAACACCTACATTTAAGACCAGGACTGCACTGTCGCACTTACCGATTATACTCAGCTCCTCTGAAGAGGTTCAAGGGATTTCGCCAGACTTTGCATTCTGTCAGAAACAGAAACAGAAACATGCAGTGAAGTCTCTTCCACATTTCAGTGCTACCTGAGGTTTGTCAGAAATACCAGCTGTCTTCGAATGAGCCTTAGCAAGTGAGCTTTGTATGTGGAAAAATTAAATGCACGGAGAGGCAGGTGGCGGCCTGACTGTCTGTCCACTTTATTTTCAAATACCTATTTCATTACAACTTAGTTTTTTTAAAAAAATGACAGCATTCCAGATAAACACCCTCTAACAAAACTCCAAATGCCCATCTAAAAAGATAATACTAATTAGTGTCAGGACTCCTATTTGCCATAATRCAGAACTGAAGAGGGATCATATTGGGGTTATTGCATTGAAAAACTGAGCAATTAACTCGCTCCCTATGGCCCTGTTATTTCTGTAAGAAAACTTCACTGTCTAGCTAATACTGCAAGCCACTGAGAAACGTATGTGCAATTGCCAATTTTAATTCCTCTTTAGCTTTAGAAACAGAAATCCATGGCAACATCTGCTGACCTCACTTGAGTTACAACCACAGCAGGATTGACAAGGGAATCTAAGGTTGATTGCCAGAGAAAAGTTCATTGCAAAAGCCTGGGAACACTAAAAGCATTTTATACAATTCTCTTCTCTTAGAAGAAAAAGAAATGCAAAATCTTTATATCACAGGCAGAAAGAGATAAGAAAATCCACAACAACTTAATTTTAATAGTATTCAAAAAAAAATCACAAGATCAATTTTTATAGCTTTTCATAAGCAGAGATCTTAATTCCGGCTTTTCTAGCTTAGCTCTAACTTCAGTAAAATTCTCTTGCTTTCCACAGACACAATTTGCTACAGTGACAGTGGGAGCAGAATCAAACTCAGTACTTGCAACAACGTCTAAAAAGTCGTTAAGGGAGAGAGGGCTGTTTTACCACAAGTCCCTCTCTTAATGACACCACATTGAGTGCTCTGCAAATGCCCGTCAGCAGTTCTGGCCCTCCAGCATTTCAGCAGCTGTTTTCCACCACCAAATGTCAGCCAGCACATTTTTCACTGTGAAGTTACGTGACCACTTCTGGAGAGGTCACTGGAGCATGTTCCTTGTGAGATACTGAGTCAACAGGGTATCGACTGCWTACAACATATGGGACGTTAAAGTCTATTCTCTTTAGGTCTGCTGCATTAAAGTATGAGACAGACACAAAGAATGGCAAGTCAAACCTTTCCCTTTCTTCATCTCCCATTTCGGAGTATGAAGCTACTCAGAGGAAGCATCTTACACAAATTATTTGCAATAACATAATGGCACCTGCAGCTGCACAAAACCCAAAGGGCACAATTGGTGGCCTTTCAGAATGGTCCCTCCTACCTAACACATGCAGGAGCCAGGGACARGAAAAGGGCAAGTTTAGGAAGAGTAAAGGCTGTTACAGCTGCATCCTTTAGCCGACCACTTCAGCAGCCAGTTCATACTGGAGAGCTCCATTTGCTTACCCAAAAGTGCTTCATCAACACTAAGCCACTCTGCTGCAAAGCCACAGGGAATGGCTGTTGGACAAGCTTTAATCTGGTAATTTAGAYAGAATATGGTTTTCAAACCATAGTAAATATTAAATAAACACCAGCCTTCCCACTGGCACAATTCAGTGCCTTGGTGGTACTTGCAATAAACAAGATAAARTAACAGGAATTTGATCACGATACCATTTTTTGGAGTCAATTTATTTAAAATTTAGTTCTTCTTGATCCAAACATAGTACTTAATCACCATAGTGAAGAAAGTGAAGAAAGAGGGAGCTGGGGAACAAAAAGGGAGTAGCAGAAGCCATTTTATTACGGTTTACTGTTCCAGAGGCAGTTTGACAAGTTAAACAGAAGGTGCTCTTTAGCTGTTTTTGTCTTGGTATCCACTGATACCATGTCTTAATGCCACAACAAAATTATCCCAACRTTTCTGAAGACACAGACATTTACTGCAATACTCTACAAAAGTCACATGTTAACAAGGGAAGAGAGGACGAACCAAGTAAAAAAGCCATCTTTGTCTATTTGGATAGTGCCAGAAATATCCCACTGTAGGTTCATGACAAACTAGAAAGGTTGTCTCTTCTGTTGCATTGCAAAATAATCYGATTTTATAACTTATGTCCTTGTTTTGTATAAGCAAATAGGATTTATTGAGGATTCATCTTTCAGAAGCTTATTCAGTGTTCAAGTTTTGAATATTGGATTCTTTCTGGCAGTATGACTAACACGGCTACTTGCACAGACACTGCTAGAGGAATTTATACAATCAAGTGCCTACGAATTGGAYGGCAAGTATGTCCTTGACCATTTCTTTCTATCAGAAAACTCGAGAGCCTTGGGAGAACCTCACGAGCCCCAGGCCTGTGCTTCCACTTTAAAGCACGGGGAGCTCTTCCCGGCACACTGAAGGGGGACTGTGGGCACTAACGGGCGCACACAGGTGCTCCCACCTCTCCCAAACACAGTCTCCTGGCCCAGGCAGTGCTGCTAGTTGCGGCCTCTCCTCCCCTCGGGCRGGAATGACAACTGCTGAATGCACCCTGCTATGTGGAGGCCTCCAGACGTGTAGTATCCAGGGCAGAACAATGGCTTTTTTGAAGGCATCTACATCATCTAACTTGTGATTTTAAAACTACTTTTTCCTTGTTTATTTTCGTAAGCATGGAAGAACAGATGTAAAATTTGCCAGGACTCAAGTTAGAGACATAGGTATCTCTGTTGTTAAACAGTAATGCTTTCTCTTTGACTGAATTTGTTGTTTCATACAGTTTTTCCTCATTTGTTAATTCTGTTGTATTTTAAATGCATATAGAGGGCATAAATTTAATGAAATTCTAATGCTATAATGGAAACTAATMATTTAATAAAATCCTAGGAGAACATCCCTGAGGAAAGCTAAACTAATTTGCAATACTAAAATTATGACCGAGACATAAATTTAAGGCTGAAAACATTAAACTCCATCTTGCAGATCAGAAAGATAGTGAATACCTACAGCTCAAGCCAGAAGCAACAGTAGTTGGGCATCTTCAGTTCATTCCACCCAGGCTGCTCTGAGTCACCCAAGCAAGGACCTAAGTTCCCCTAGGATCCCTATTCAGCCAAGAGACTTGTTGCTTGGGGCTCAAGAGGCTGGTTCATCATAGGCAGCTCGATCTGCTTCTTGCTGCCACCTCTCAGAGGAATCCCTGGGCAATGAGGTACTCRCTTGCAGAGCCTCAGCAAAATCCCCCCATTGGGGGATTCAGCTGCTTTCTTCTGATTTAGCATCATCTTTATCATCAGGGCAAAAAATGTGTATTCATTACAGCAATATAAAAATGCATAATAAAAAAAAAATCTAAACTCATATAAATGTACTACTGAGGTAAGGCTCTCAAAATATTTCCTCAATCATGTATTTACTCAGGAGAAATATATCCACTACGAAGGAGGCCACAGGGTGCCAAAGCAACCATTTAAAATGTGATTTACTCAAAAGCAGACACCKTCAACCTGCTTTGCAGCACCCATACCTTGCAGGGAAATTCCCAGGAGCTGTGAGTATCTGCAACCTTGCAAAAACCAAACCCACAATGCCCGAAACCCAGCACCCAAAAATGGAGGCCTCTTTTTTTAAACCAGCCTACACTACAGCTGGCCCAAAGTCACAAATCAAATCAGTAGCTGAGTCAGGAGTGGAACAAGCCCTTAAGCTATTGAAAACCACTGTGCTTCCACTTACTAAAGTGAAATCCAAATGTTGTTTACATACTATTTCCATTACCCTAAGAATCAAGCAATGCAAAAACAGATGGGCATTCTTGACATCTTTTTCTGATTATTTTCCTGACAGTGCTTTAACTGTGCTGCACGGCTCTCTAAAAGAATGAAAATAAAAATACTGCCTGCCTTTAGAAATGCTATTACAGAAAGCACATGCAATTTAGCTGAAGTTTCAGCACAAGGACTGCAACTGTGCATTTGCCTTATGGTAACAGAGTCTGAGCACAGTACAGATTTGGGAAGATATAATTAGCCGGAGCAGTTAATAAAGCAGYCCTGTCTTGTATTTGACAGCAAAGCCAATTTAAAGAAAGCCTTCTATGGTCTCATGGTTCAGGATGACATGCTATTTATGCCATCTGCCTATGGCAGGGGCTGACTGCTAATTTTGCCAAGCCGCAGAACTCCAGGGATGCCAAGTTAATCTGTAGCAGCCACCAATTCGACAGGCAAGGGCAAAGGGTGGCACTGGGAGCAATTGGCAACTGACTTTAACTGGGCCAAAATGCCCACAGATGCCAACCACCCAATGCACCAAGGTGTGCGGTCCCCATGAGTGGCTGGCAAGGGTGAACGTGTCTGTGGTGTGCAAACCTGCAGCTACTTCTGCATTACAGGCAATCCCTTAACTTAGCTCCTGCTCTGGCTATTCCCTGTAGCCACAACCCACCTCTCCGGCATCATACTCTTAACTTTGGTCTTGTTAAAATACAGGCGGGCACCTAATTTTACACGACAGGGAGGGTCTTGCAGGTTTCAGTTTACTGCAAGCCGGCGGCCTTACGCGGGGGCCGGCCGCGTTACCTTCCCCGTTTTTCGCTGTGCTCTGCGCTAAGTGACCCAAGGGGCGCGGGCGGCGCTCCCGAGGCGAAGCGCGCGGCGCTGCAGCGCAGTGCAGTGCGCGCTGCAGTGCMGTGCAGTGCCGTGCAGTGCAGTGGAGCGCAGCGGGAGGCGCTGCTGCCGCGCAGTGCGCGGCCCGCTCCGCCCGCGCGCGCGCTCACCTGACACGCTCTGGCGGCTCGAGTCGGCGTCGCCGGCGGCGGCGCTGGCGGCGCTGGGCGCGCTGTTGTCCACGCCGCCCAGCAGAGGGCGCAGGTGGCTCACCGAGACCTGCTCGATGAAGGACGTGCCGTACTTGCGGAAGTACCACCACTCGAAGATCTGCAAGACACGCGCGCCGCGCCCGTTAGCGGCCGCCTCCTGCCGCGCGCGCCCGTCCGTTAACGGCTGGCCCCCTCCTGCCGCTGCGCCCGTTAACGGCGCCCCGCCGCGCGCGCCCGTCCGTTAACGGCTGGCGCCGTCCCGCCACCGCGCCCGTTAACGGCTCCCTGCCTCGCGCGCCGTCCGTTAACGGCTGGCCCCCTCCTGCCGCTGCGCCCGTTAACGGCTCCCTGCCTCGCGCGCCGTCCGTTAACGGCTGGCGCCGTCCCGCCACCGCGCCCGTTAACGGCTCTCTGCCGTGCGCGCCTGTCTGTTAAATGTTATTTTGGTTTGGGCTTTGGTTCAGATAGGAAATAATAATAATAATAATAATAATAATAATAATATCACTTGTCTTTGATCTCTTACAGACTATGCGATCTCCTTATGACTGCACTTATATACCTAAATATTTATGGTATTTTCATAGAGAAATTACATTCTTCAGGAATAAACTGCATAAAAACTGCGTAAAACCTGAAAAGGAAGCGTATTTCATGCAAACTGGAAGAAAATCCTGTAAAAATCATAAATGCACACGTTTGTAATATCCTAGACAGTTTAGCAGTTGCTTTTGAAATCATCAGCCAACCATCAATGTATCAATAGTAGCAAATACAAGTATTTTTTTTCAATGAAAGTATGCTAGGACTTTGTAATATTGATTCCACTTGAAATTCTGAATGAATGGGCCTTGCTCTTTTTTTTTTTTTTCCTCAGTGTTTCCATGTTTTGTGCTGGTCTAGAAACCTTTCACAAAAGCTTGACAAAACATGTTAYTCTTCCTACAATGGTCCACAGTCAGCAAATGGATCTATTGAAATGTGAAATAATTATGATCTTCACAGTCTGCGAGCTGCAGATTTATGTTCTGCTTGGCTAGCACCAAACCAAATTACAGAAGGGCTCTTAGGAGCCTAAGTACTGCACAGAGGTTCAGATTCAGCTCCACACGTTCCCTCTCATGGTCATCTGAAAACACTCAAAACTGCTTCCATATTTTTCCTTTYGAAGTTCTCTTGAGATCTTTATATCACTGGCTTCTACCTCCCTGAGAYTGTATTCAGGAGATGCTTTTTTAAAAACAAAAATGTGTTTTGTTTTAAACCTTTCTGTAAAGTGGRAAAAAAAAAGGCATAGTAAGAAGATGTTCATCTCCAGAGGGTATACTAATGCATTCAGCAGAGGGGGAGCCTTTAATTATAGCCATGTTATTAAAAAATCTAGAGCGTTCATATGGAGGCAGCTGCCATCAGCTGCACTGGAGGGGAATTTAGTTGGTGGCCATTTGAACAGGAACGTTCACATATTTGCATTGCGTGTACCCTGGAGATTAGTTGATCCCCCAAATAGTCTAATAGCTATTTTATGGGACATCTATGAGGAAGAATAAAACAGTCTGCTGGGAGATGACAGAAGGACTCTGTGAACATATAAAGGTCATAGGAACTTGGGAAGATAAACAGATAGTCACAGAGATGTCAGAACATAAACACATCCAGATTGTTGTGAAATCTGCATTCCAGGCAAAGTATGGAAAACCCACACAGCGCTTGTATTCCCTACTTATGTAGGTACCAGGAGGCTTTTGTCGCTGTGTTTGTTACTTCTGCGTGTACCTGCCGTAGCAAAGCACAGGAGCCAGGGACAAAAGTATCACTATATATTGGCTCTGTACTGATGCACCTGCCCAGGCATCCACTACTGCCTGCAATTCTCCAAAGGTTGCAGATGATGGACAGGGACCTCGTGTGGATGTATCTTTGGTTTTAGCTGTTCCCATGTGCTTAAAACACACTCTGAAGGGCTTAGAATTTAAATCTTATGAACTAGAAGAGTATCATAAGCGAAGCAGGCAACATATGGCCACAACCACGAGAGGCTGGGCCATCAGCTGCAGGGTGTGTTTTTGCTTTAAGCTTTGAAGCTTGAACAGCCTGAGAGAAGTCAAGCCACAGTTGTGCCTACCCCACGGCCTCAGAGGGACTTGCTGCTGGAAATTAGGGGCTATAACTTTGTGCTCAAACAAGGAAAACTCAACCAAGAGTAATTCTGCAGATAAAAGGGCTAGATCCTCAGGTACAACCTAACAGCACAGCCCACGTTTGGCTTCTGACATGCAGAAAGTGACAGCCTGGCACAAATCCAGCAGTTCCACAGTCCCTATAGCAGGTTATTCCGAAGGGATCCTAGGGCTGTGCCACGCTGCAGTGCAGCCACCAGTTAAACCTCTCCAAACTCTTGGCCACTAYTGACTCTCTATCTGGCTTTACATTCTAAGAGGAAGAAAAAAGATTTTTCAAAATGTTTAAATAAATGTCACACTCAATTTCAATGTAACTGAAAGTACAAGCAGAGAGAATGAATACATTGACACTACTCAGTTCCGCTGAGTGATGGAAGCTTGTTAAAATGTGCGACAAACTTGTAACTGTCTCCAGAGACTTCCAAAAATAATAATTGTAAAAAAGGAATTAAAGCTCCTAAATCATTTTACACAATTTTGAAAAAAAATGCAGCATTAAGTGAATCCAGTGSCAGGAAATAACAAGTGTATCAATGCAGTCCCTCAGAAAATAAAGCAACACCAGTCTTTGCTTGGTGGGTTTTGTTCAGGGTGTCCAAGAATTTGTAATCTGGTATTGTAGTCAAATTGTCTTCACAGAATTTTTGCACCTTACCATTCRATTTCTATAAATCAAATTTATTTCTAAGTGTACCATTAAGAACAATGTTAAGTCAACATGCTCTTGACAGCTCAGCAGCTGAGAGATCACCTGGCCGAGCAATTACTAAGTGTAAGGATTAATGACCTGTAGAAAGAGACCTGGATCTGAGAGGAAATTAGGAGAAAGGTCATTTCTGCACCCCTTCTAGAAATAAAGGCACATCATTCTGTGAGGGGGAGCCCATCACACAGGTGTTTCCCTTATCAGAGGGTGGCAAAGGCTTTTCCTACTTTCTCCCTAGTTGATTCCCATACTTACAGATCAGAACAGGGCCAAACAGCTCCAGACTCTGAAGGGATCTTTGAAACCTTTATTTTCACAAAAGCCAAGTCAAAACTGTGGTGATTGGCCCATTTCCAGGTTTATGTGCTTAGAAATCCAGATGCAGATCCTTTTATTTTTTAAATGGGCATAGGCAGCAAATAACAGTTTAATTTTGGAAAACCCTTAATGATGACTTCTCGCAATACATGGCAATGAAAAGACAATTTAGAGGCAACAATTGTGTTTGGGTTAAATAAGAGCTGCTGAATCGTTCCTAACTGTCCTGAATGTTTTAAGRTTTGGGTTGTGTTTYRTTTGGTTTGGTTTTTGTTTCTGCTTCTCTTTATAGGCATTTCTCCTCCCCTGTGAAATGAACACATTACAGTCCTTCCTTTTCTTATCTTTGCTGTCACATATGGGCAATCCTGGATCATTTTATTTCTCTGTGTAACAACAAATCTATTCTGCATCATTTGGATTATCTGAGCTTCCTGCCTGTTTGTTCAGAACAGATATTCCACCACAAATGTATCAATTCACAGGAGATGGTTCCGCTGCTTGTTCTCACTGGACCAAACACTGATGCCTAGCGCTGATTGGAGTTATGTTTTCTTGTTTGCCATATCTGAGACACACATCCTCTCCTGCACGGGAATGCTCTCTGCACTCCTACTGCAACAGAAATAGTCTTCAATAGAARTAGTAGAGAATCTTGTTTACAGGAAATTTTTGCAGCTCAGTTTTCATTCAATCTTGCAATTAGGCTTCCAGCCTTCCAAAGGGTCGGAATACTACTCAGATATGAGGGGTGGTCAATCAACCTAAGGGGTGTAACATGAAGGTGACTCCCTTGAGGTGAGAACACAGCATCGGCCCTAGGTTCAGCACTTACGCCAGTCAGTAAATAAACAGAGGCCCAGCACAGGTGTGACAGCTGCCTTAGCTGTTTGGCTGGTGCCAGTGCCCGTGACAGGGTCCGTTTCCAGCAGGCAATATGGGAAACATCCCTCCGTGTGGCAGGTAAGAGTGCTCATCCATAGGGATGGAAGCCTAGCTGTGCCACTTACCCCTCAGCAAGGGGGCAAGCAATGTTTTATTTAGCAATAAGGGACAGCAGTGACTCAAACAGATGCTCCAGTCCAGCCCACTTCATTCTAGGAAAGACCTGCCTCAGTGTCACGCCTTCAGCGTCTTCAGGGACATCTTCCCAAGTTGACGGCTCTGCAGCCTCATTCCTTTTGGATAAAATACACCAATTTGGCACCCACTTAGACTCTGCTTTTGGATTATGAAAGGTGCCGCTTGTCCCTAACAGGGAGTTTGAGTGAGAAGGTTCAGGRTCAAGCTTGAAAACAAACAGCTTATTCTAAACAACCATTTACTTAAATATCTAAAAGGAATGGGAAAAAGAAACTTCCATATTGTCTGGAATAAGTGCAGTATTTCTCTCAACACTAGGCAGGCCCCAGTTTTTGGTGCTCCCTGTCTCTTGTCTGTGCACCAACCTCCTGCAGCCGCTTTCTCCCTCTGCTCCCTGGCAAATTCCAGCTTTCTGGGAGCTCCCAGCATGGATTTGGCCTTCCCTGACTGACTCTGAGCAGAGCAGAAACTTTGAACAATTCACAGCTATCACATTCAGACCGCCAAAGGCTGTCCCTGTAAAATCACCAGACTTGCTCTACTATGGGGAAACACCCTGAACTCAAGTCACCTTTCTGCACCTCTGCAGCGGGCTACACAAAGGTAATGAAAGAGAAGAGCAAGTAACCTCAGCAGAAAATAATGCAGGTCTCCTCAGTGCTACCGACACCCTCTCTGACACCCTCTGGTCTCCTCAGCGCCACTGACACCCTCTCTGACACCCTCTGGTCTCCTCAGCGCCACTGACACCCTCTCTGAGGCTTCCTGCACTGGCACCACCCGGTACAACGGCCGGGCCTCTCGGGTGCTCCAGCCAGCCCGGCCGCTCGAGACTGCCGGGCTGACGCTCCCCTGCTCCGCCTCTCTGGGCACTCACTGCCAGGCCCGATTCTCCTCTCTGAAAGGCCTGGCATTTTCTATTAGATCATTTCTTATCATTGAGCAGAAAATGCTTTAATATTTCTCTGAAGCATTTCTCTGCTAATGGAGACTTAAGAGTAGGGTCCAATTTTGCTCGTGGTTTGTTAGAACTGAGACTGAGGCAGTTTGCAATGCAAACACCACCTCCATTTGCTACCCAACATTCACTCTGGTGATAAATATTTTAGATACGCAGTCTCACAAAAATAATTCCAGCTCACAGCACTTCCTTTATCTCAGCTGTGTTTCATGGCACAGTTATGTTATCCTACCTGTGAAAAATTTCAGGCTTCCTTAGGCATAAAATACAGGTCTATTTGATTCTGTGAGTCAGAATCCTGTCTCTTACTGAATTAAAAGTGATTGCAGAGGAGCCAATTTCTATCACACTATTCTTAATGCAGCCTGGGACTTGATTTGGTTCAAGAATGCTTGCAAAAGTGCAGGGAAGAATTAAATTTGTTTGGAGTTCTTCATTTTAAGCTATGTGCTGTAGTGAAGTAATTATGAAGGAGAATGGCTGAGATAAAAAAAGACCTTTCAGTGCTGTGGGGTGCTACTGAGCAAAAAAAGATGCTTGAAATCCTTGCGTCATTAAAGTGACATTTCCTATAGTGAAGCCAGAATGTGACCCAAAGAATGAAAGCAAAATAAGAGATGAAATAAGATGGGAGAGTAATGAATTTTTTGCAAAGTAGTCATATAGATTATGATTCCCTCAAAGCTGAACTTTGCACAGTCACTATTTCACATCCTAAACAAGAAATAGGAAAAGCACTCACTTTTCCATCAGTCACCACTCTTCCGAAATGATGGAATTTTCCATCATTTCAGAACCTGCAGTACTGTGATTTCTCCTTCTGATTAGGAAGTGCAGCCAAGTGATAATGGAAAGAGATCTGCCAGACCATATGGTGGAAAATTCCAAGGAATATTAGTGCATCTAGTCTGACAAATACCCCAGTGACGTAGACTTGAGAATGTTTGTTTTATAGAAGAGTCTCATTAAAGACCATTAGCAGAAGAAACCTTTAGAACTGTAGATGCTGTGTAACATCCAGGTAACTGGGCTGTAGTGTAGGCAACTCAGAATGGTACGGGGCCGTTGGTAAACAGCAAGATTATTTAGAAATAATAAATTTGAAGAATAATTGGCTAGAGACTGGCACAGTCTGCTTGAGTTGTGGATTTCTCTTTCCACGTCCATCTCCACTGAGTTCCTTTTCTACGACCCCATTTACAGAGCACGTGGTCCTCTCCACAGTCCATGAGACTGAAACAATTTCATGGCTTCTTTGTCTTTTGAGCACTTAGGATTGGGGTATATAAGCAACAGAGAACACCTGGCAGCAGTTGTGAAGATACCCCAAGAAGCTCTGTAATCTTCTTTCAAATCTTCCCAGTTATACTGACTACGCCTCCTACTCCTCTGCTAGCTCTGTTCCTTTAGCTTGTTCATCAGGTGTGTTCAGTGAATATCTTCAATTAAGGCTTACTCAGTCTAATCTCTTCTCAGAAGGCTTCTACCAGTGGATTTGTCACTAAGAGCATGTCACTGCCAGGTACTGTCGTGCCCTCCCTCAGGGTTGTAGTGAGTCATGGACTGATTGGCTCTGAGTCCCCTCGGGCTGCTGCCCTTCTTCCAACATTACTTGACTAATAATCTTGAATCCTTCTGGTTCGGAGGTTGGGTTTTTTGTTTGTTTTTCCTGTCTCTGCCCTTTTCCTCCTTCTTCATATCATGGTCTTAAAAACTCCTTCCCATCTCCTTCTTGTGCTTTCCATTAAAATACAGTATCTAGACTGAAAGTCTCCTACTGAGCTCATTCCTCAAAAAATGCCTTCTAGAGTACAGTATAAAACACAACTACATTTGCAGTCCTGCTACACATAGTTACGTCTCTCCTTAGATTCTATGGATTTAGATCTGTTAAAGGTTTCCATAGATGTGTCTTTCTCTTGCCACATCCTCCAGCTGTCTTCACTCTCCAACAGTAAGCAAGTAACTGTGCCTATGGACCCCATATGTTCCTCTCACTCCTCCTCATCACATTGGTGGGAGGTCTTTGAGTATTTCTTACTGAGTGAGATATTACTGAATTCAACACACAGCATTTTCCTCCCATGCATTTTAGTTCTCTTAGAATCATAGAATTGTTACGGTTGCAAAAGACCTTCAAGATCATTGAGTCCAACCGTACTTCACTGAACCTAAATCTCACAGGTTTGGCCCCTGGCCCTCAGTGTTCACAGCTTAAAAGAGCGGTGATTTCTCAGGAGCTCTGCCCTGTGCTTTGGGGCTCGCTCCATACCAGCCTGATGAATGCCCAAGGTGCCAGCATTAAGTAATTGCCTTCTGCTCCAAGCAAGCCCCAGAGCGAGGCAGAGCAGCAGCGCAGCCGAGGCCTTGCACCTGGCATCCCTCAAGCGGGGAGCGAGAGCTTTGCAGCATTCAAGGGGGCGAGGACGGGGTTTCTCTCACTACATCTGTAGTTGGCCAGTTTGAAGAGAGAGGCCCTGAGGTCCTACACAAAAGTGGCCTGGGCTGACTAGGCCTCTTGAGGAGCCTCCTTAGGGCTCTGCTCCTGGGTGGTGACCAGATCTGCAGGGAAGGAAGCAGCCCCGAGCAGATCTGCAGGGAAGGGAAGCAGCCCCGGGAGGTGTCTCTCTCCACTTTCCACTGGGACAACTGTGCTCCCCAACTGATCTCCCAGTTACGTGCCTTGCTGGGCTGCTGAGGAGAGTGCCTGCCGTTGTTATCCAGCTTCTCTGTAAGCTTCTCATTAAGCTATAGGACTTAACACTCTTTGACCAAACTAGGGTAAAATGGAAACAATCTTGATTCGTATATGTAGAAAACAAACTGTTAGCATCCAAGCTACATAACAGCCCAGTATAACCCGAATGCCCTAAGCACCTCTTGAAGATTCTTAGATATTTTGTGCTTAAGTTTGTTTCTGTGAAGACATTGAATAAAATCCAGCACAAATGCTCTGCTTTGGCCTTCTGCCCTGTGATGGCATTATGATTCACTCCATTGCATCAGTTTGCACAAAGAAGCCCTCAGGGATTACGTAAGGGAGGATATTTTTTTCCTCCCTACAAGGTTTAGAAATGTTCGGTAGGCCTAAAAACAAAAGGATAGACACATACTGAGAAAGATTTTAGAACTGAACAGCTGAAATAATCATCCCTTGGAAAACTGGCACTAAAACTGCCCTCATTGCTATGTTCCACTTGCTGTTTCCCTGATAAGTCCTGCTGTAATATTCTCAAAAGCGCATGCTCGACAGAGGTAGTTTCTCCCTCTCTTCTTTCTCCTGGTCTTTTTATTTTTGCAGTACTTGTTGATGGAAACACATAACATGCAAACACTTGTTCTGAATTATTATTTGGCTGTTTGCTGCTGGGCACGTTGTCATTCAAGATTATTGTCTTCAAAGACACCCAACATGGAAGCTTTTCTTTTTCAAAGTGAAAAGCAGTAAAAAATAAAATATGGGTGGCTGAAATATAAATTTAGGAAGAAAAAAAGGCACATTAATCTGGACAAAGCCTAAAATCACATTCTGGGTAAGAGATGCAATACGTAAAATAATATTAATATATTTAGTACTTACCAAAATGAGTCCCGAGATTAAAGAGGAAGTGCCTGTCAGGGCAACATAGAACTTGGGGGTTAATGTGTTCAAAAACATACTCACTGAAAAAGAAAGAGAGGAAACCATGAGTACAGGTTCAGGACATGTTCTCCCCACATGCCCCCTCCTCCTCCCTACTGATTTACAAATTTAAATAAGTTATTAACTTAACTTTAGTTAAAAAATCCGGTTAAAGAACCTTGTGTTTCAGCTGCCTAGCACGTGGGCAGCAGAGCAGGGGATGCCCCGGGCTGGACGCTGCTTTCCCGGGAGGCGCCAGGCGCTCGCACGGGTCCTGGCTCCCTCTTGTATAGGTCCTGGCTCCCTCTTGCACAGGTCCTGGCTCCCTCTTGCACGGGCCCTGGGTCCTTCTTGCAGGGGCCCCAGCTCCCTCCCGCCCAGGCAGCGCCCTCCTCACGCGCTGCCGGGCCCCGCGGGGCTGCAGCCTCTGCCCTGGCTGCTCTCGGAGGCCGCAGCCTCTGCCCTGGCTGCTCTCGGAGGCCGCGGGAGCCTGTCCCAGCGCCCTGTGTCCCAGGCTGCCTGCGCTCCAGACGGCAGGGGCTCTATCAGATCTCTGGGAGAGGTTTTTTAAAAGCCTCTGGCTTCTCTTTCCCTTGGTTCCTCACTTACAGAGTGGGAGATAATAGCACCTCCCCAACACGCTACCTCCCATTAAACGTGCTGAACCCCTCAGATAATGTGGCAGTAATCACTGCGTGCAAGAATATAAGACACATTAGGAAAAAACCAAACAGGTCTTCTGCTACACGTGGAAAGAAAGCCCTAATAACCACTCCAAATAAGGCCTCGGTCACTGCCTATTATCTGGAATCCAGGCCAGAAGCAAACCCGGAGAGGCTGCAAGGAAGGGCAGGTCTCTTCCAGCCATCCTGCACTTGCTTTGGGAGCCGCTGGGACAATCACCGCGGGTTCCCCCTTAGCCCCACAGAAAATTCCTATTGACTTCAGAGAATACAGTAATTTTTTGATAGGTTTTGAATGATGCTACAGAGGCTACTATTAGGAATTACAGCTCTTTCATAAACCTTGGACAAACCTTCAACCAGCCATCGCCTCTGGCTTCCGTGAATGAAACCACTCTCTGTGAAACTGCATGGAGGTTTAGACTGTCCTCTTTGAAAAACCCACTGCTTCCATTCCTATCCAATGTCAAAGAATTTCTTATAGGTATGTATATATGTGTATGTATATACATAATCAGACACCCACACATATGTATATATGCATATATTTGTATTTATACATGCATATATTTGATATATATATATATGCATATATAGACAAAAATATTCCAGTCATCAGCATCCATAACTGATGAAGGCCTAGACAAAATGTAGAAGGTAAATTTAAACATTTGTAGCAAGCTATCAAATAGTTAAAAAGCCTGATGAAAAACCTGCATACTGGGGAGTCCTCAGCTCATTCTGTTCTTTTTAGAAATGACACTTATATTAAATAATATGGTACCAAAAATGAAGAGAAAGCAGGTTGATCAAACATTTGATTAATTTTCCATAACCAATAAAACAGAAAATTTTCACCCAGACACACGTTACTAAGAGGGACTTTGGACTTGCAGTTCAGCTGATCTGTTTAGGCTTTGACTGCAGCTTTTATTTTTTTCTTGAAAAAGTCATAATTGCTAAAGTGGAAGCGTAATTTTCTGCTCCACTGGAGTAGCGTTAAGCACCAAACTGATAAAGTGAAGAGCTTGCCTGGTGTTTTTTAATTCCATCTTACATTTTCTTTCACAAATGAGTTATAGGCCACAGTTTCAGCTAGTGTAAACTGCAGTAATACTCCTGTTTGGTTGTGTGCAGCAGAGCTGCACAGCGACAAACCAGCTCTAACTCAGCAGTGGGGATTCCTCCAAACCCTACTGACTTTCTTCCTGTTCCTGTTCTTTCTTTCTGTTTATTATATGTATTGTTAACACCTAACACAAGCTGGCTTTCACACAGCAGGCCCTGCTTACTGCAGTCCCAGTTAAGGAAAGGGCACAGAGAGTATGAACCAGCTGTGGCTCCCACAAGCCGCCCCTGGGAAGCGCCATTCCCATCCCGGAAGGCCACCATGAAGCAGGGGCCCGCGCTGGTCACTGGGGTGCTCCAGTCCCATTGGGGCGCTCCGGCCCCTTCGTCCAGGGGCTGCCTCCTGCTCCCGTCCTGCCCTCGCTGCACGTGGAGCCTGCGATCGCTCCTGGCCAGCTAGGAACGTTACCCCGAGGGAAACGTCATGGCCAAATGCATCAAGGACAGACAACTACACGTTACCACGGCTGTAAGGCTATCCAGGCCTCTGGGCGTTAGAGGATTCTACATGTTCACCAAGAAAGGCTGCAAGGATGGCAAAGGATCCTACAGAAACAGCCATCAGATACCTTCTTGTCTGGCTACCATTAAGTCACTTCCCTTCAGGGCGCATTCGCATTTGGGGGAATCACATTGGGACCTTTCCACAGATCAAAATCCATCATCCACTGAGCCAAAAGAGCGAGAGTCCCAAGAGGTGCTGCCGTCCCGGGCAACTCTACCTGCTTTGCTCTGTCACCGCATCTTTTACAAGCAACTTACACTGATCTGTGGACCTATAATCACACCTAAACAGAGACAATATTTGATGCATTTTTTCTCTGGTTATTGCATCCTTCTTTACCTACTTGTAAGTGGTTGCTCATTCATGCTCTTTATTAGAGCTGCTACAATTGTTCTCTTAAAACTTACTCACACGGCCTGGCAAGGAGGAAAGCCCCAACACTGGACACCTCGGGTTGCACGAGCAGCTCCCAGCTCGCTGGAATAGCACCAGTGATTGCTACATTTGCACTCAATTACTAGCGCTACTTATCTGGCCTCTATCTCTCAAATATTTTGCTGCTTTTCTTCCCTTCGGTTAAGTATGAGAATCTTCTATTTCACTACGAAAACTATCAACTTCTGCCAGCTACTGAGTACCTTCCTCCTCCCTTTGTCTCCATAAATATTATTAACAAAAGCAAACACTTCCCAATAAGAAACATATTTCCAAAACAGTAGAAATACGCACTGGAGGATCTGTGGTCAGACTGTTTTTACTCTTAAGTCAATGGGAATTCTGTCTGTTTCGGTGGAAACGACATCAAGGCCTCGTTCTCATAACATTAACCCTCAAGATAAAAATCAGTCCAATCTCGGGTTACATTTGTATCATTGTCCAAAAAATAAATAAATAAATAAATAAATAAATAAATAAAGAGCTTCTATTTATAGGCAGCATTCTGACACCGGCTAAATCACTGTTTGTGGTAGCTGCCCATATAGCTATACATAGCTATGCTTTTAAGGATAATCTCCCCTTCCTGCTTCCCATAATGGACTCTGGTTTCCTTCAGGATGTTGCAGTAATCCAGGGCCATTAAAGATGTCGATGGTCCACGTGCCCAGGCGTTTCTGCCCTGCCATGTATTTCCACCTGGTGAAAGGGCGGCAGGCAGACGGAGATCCTGGAGCAGGGAGCGGGGCAGGCCGAAGGCGCAGGCAGCCGCGGGAGGCCGAGGCCGGCGGCACCACAGGCTGGGCCGCCCCGTCCTGGCTCCCCACGGCACCAGGGGCCCCTCGGGCAGCCTCTGCTCCTGCCCGGCGCTCCCGGCGCCTTACAGGGCGTTCGTAGCCCTTTAGGCAGCCAAACAGACAGTTTAACACCCACTGCCTGACGCTCCCGCTGTGCCACGCTATGTGAAATTATTGTTAAATCCCAATTATTTCCACAGGCTTTCGACGATGATTCATTTTGGGGGTGTTCACTGAGATGACGGAATGCAGTACAGCCTATTTTTTGTAAAGAAAAATAGCACAGCCTCTGAATGCTGTCTAAACACACCAAGTATGTTCTGGCCCTAGAGATAACAAGCCCCTTTCTTCCCTTCTCTTCACTGTGTACACCTTAATTATACTTGAGCCATCCAGAGTAGGTACTATTTACATTTCCAATGCTGCCTACAGTACATTCACAAATCATTCCATTCTACTGTATAATACCTAGGGAATTATTATTATTTGTTTTACTGTGCATGCTCACAGAAATGAATTTATATCCACTTCTGTTTGTAGTAGATGGCTGAAAAAGAGCACACAGGCCGTACCCTGTGTTTCCTGTTGAGGCTCATCTGAAGAGGTGACAGCAATTTTCTTAGCAGTTGATGCCATTTCACTCCTGTTATATATTTTATTCATTTTATTCCAATACTTATTCCCATGTTCAGAATGAATAATAAATAAGAGAAAAAGTCCAGGTATTTTTCAAGTGACAAAATCCCCAAATCACTAAAAAGTACCACTCAAGGTAACAGAGCTCTGTAGTGTGTTACAAAGTCCTTCCAGGGCTTGAGGCATTTTAATTTCAAGCATGTGAGGAGGCCCTGGGCRAGGAATGATACTGGTTGAAGAACCTGCAAGCCACAGTGTTATAATAACAATTTACACCACAAGATCTCTAGGGGTGGGGGCGCTGACAACGTCCTGCTGCCCCCCGAGCATCTCCTCGACCAACAGCACCGTAACCTACTGCTGGATGTGACACTATGGTACTTGCCCAATAATTTGGTAATAAAAAATGTAATAGCAGTTTTAAAGCAAATCACACAATTAGATCAGGCAAAGAAAGAACTGCATCATTTTATGCTACTTCTTGGGTGGAAAAATAATTCCCCAAGCAAAACATTATCTTAAAATAGAGCTAAACTTAAATACATGCCAATACCTTGGCATGTAAATAAAGGAATGCACTGCAGAGCCACATCTAAAGATCAAATGTCAGAAATCCAAATACGCTGGAACATACGTTAAGACACAGCCGGGTTGGAACCTCTGGGCTTTCAGGGGAGACAAGGTCAGCAGTCAGGAAACCAGAGCAGGCAGCGGCCCCCCRGCCCCTCGGCCGGCTCTGGCGGGCGCGGGGGGACCGGCGCGTTTCCCAGCGGCCGCAGCAGGGGTTGACATCACCCCACGGAAGCAAAGTTACCAAAATGGCATTGGGCTCTTCTACCCAACCACGAACAAAGCTGGTGCATTAGAGTGCAACAGACTTAA